TTGCTAGCCTTATGGTTACAGAACTAATATTGCAAATAAGAACAGCTGATGGCTCTCTGAACCTTTGGATAGCCTGGAACACTAACTCTAAAAAGTAAAAGTACCCTACTCACCACTTCATGGAATCTAGGACTGCATGATATATTCTGTTACACAGATGTTGATGGAAAGAACAGACCCAAAGAATCAAGGTATTTAACATTCAATATCTTTAAATGGGATTTGGTATACAGGGATTTCAGCCAGCTTTGTTCCATGGCAAACACACCATTAAACAGCTCTTTAACCTTTTATCAAAGATAGGGAATGTCTACACTACATGGCTCTGTCGACGGAGCATACCTTTGTAGACATAGGAAAATGAAGCGGCGATTTAAATAATCACTGCTGTGGAGGTAAAATGGAAGGTTCGAGAATGTGGCCAGCCCCAGAGAGGTGCAGAAACAGGCAGCCTTGTATTGAATATTTTAACTTTTATTAAAATGCTTTTAACTATAACTTTTTTATTTATTAACTTTTTACATGCGTGGGCGCCAGATAATTATTAACAGTAACAGCAAACAAACTGCAATACAATAGAGGAAAATGCCCTGGGGTTTCTCTAAGTCTAAGTAATTATTAATAACAGCCCAGGGATTTTTATCAGTTATAGTTACATTAATTTTACTCATGAGGTTTAACATCTATTTAAACTTCTAACTATACTATTTAACAAACTTCTGACTTTACACAGCAATACTTACAATTATCAGACATACAAGAGACAACAGAGACAACAGCATATTCGTTATTCGTTACGCTCTGCAAAAGATTTGGTAGATTCGATGAGCGGGAGGGCGTCCTCGGGTGATCAGACCTCAGAACCTGGCTCGTGTTCTGCCTTCCAAATGTTCGGGAACCCTCAACTGCATGCAGGAGGGGTAGCTGTTTTATAGAGAGAGCAAGAGCTTTCAGCACAGGTGTCTGTACTTACCACATGCACCAGTACCTGAAGTTTTTCCTTAAGCAGTATCTGTAGGGGCTGGGATCCCTAACGCCCCCTGGAGTGGTGCACACATGCTGCACTCTAAAAGACGTTGCCCAGCCCCTCCCTCCCTCCCTCAGTTCCTTCTTACAGTCTGAAGCAAAATACAGGACTATGTAGCACTTTAAAGACTAACAAGATGGTTTAATAGGTGATGAGCTTTCGTGGGCCAGACCCACTTCCTCAGATCAAATAGTGGAAGAAAATTGTCACAACCATATATACCAAAGGATACAGTTTAAAAAAATGAACACATATGAAAAGGACAAATCACATTTCAAAACAGAAGGAGGATGCGGGGGGAGGGGGGGAAAGGAGGGTAAGTGTCTGTGAGTTAATGATATTAGAGGTGGGGAAAGGTAGATGTCTGTGAGCTAATGGTATTAGAGGGGTCTGGCCCACGAAAGCTCATCATCTAATAAACCATCATGTTAGTCTTTAAAGTGCTACATAGTCCTGTATTTTGCTTCAGCTACACCAGACTAACACGGCTACATTTCCATTACCTTTCTTACAGTCTGTGAGGGTGCTTGGAACAATGCTGCAGCAAGCGTTCCCTTTGTACTGTTGGCAGTTCTAAACAAGCATGCTAAGTACCTGTGAACTATTGGACTCTGTTCTGCAAAAGACTTTTTTCCTGGGGAACTGGCATATCCTGCTTCCCTCATCCCTAACTCCCTGCCCCCACACACACACTTCAAAGCCTGTGCCACAGGCCCATGCTAAGCAACAATCCACCTGCTGACTGCCTTTGCTGCCTGGGGGGAGGACACATCTTGGACAAGTGTCAAATGTGTAAGTCCCTCCATCCCAAAACCATTAAAGAGCAGAGCATTCATCTTAGAGAGCTCTTAACAGAGTCCGTGCTTGCTCCGCAAGACCATCAGTCAGATTAGGGACTGGGTATCAGTGCTTCAGTGCCCGGTGCACTGCCAGTACAAATGGCTTGGTGCCGTTTGTCACCCATGCCCCTGGCGAAGTCTACTAGGAAGCCAGGAGGAGACACATCACCTTGTAAGAATAAGGGGGAGAAGAGTGACCAGTCTGTGGATAGGCCAGAGATAGGCTGAGCCCCACATCCAGTCACTTTGGTGTTGGAGGTCTGTGTCCCCTCTACACCGGGGGCCTTCCATGCTGCGCAGGACATAAGTGCCATGCTTGTGTACTGCTACCCCTGACAGAAGCAGCCTTGGCATAGAGGAAAGCCACTGCTTGGCCCCTGATGACCTAGTATGATCCGATCATGCTCTCCTCCGGTATCTGAGAGGAGAGCACTCCAATGTCCCTACAGATCTGTCCATGAGATGTCCCCTCTACACCGGGGGCCTTCCATGCTGCGCAGGACATAAGTGCCATGCTTGTGTACTGCTACCCCTGACAGAAGCAGCCTTGGCATAGAGGAAAGCCACTGCTTGGCCCCTGATGACCTAGTATGATCCGATCATGCTCTCCTCCGGTATCTGAGAGGAGAGCACTCCAATGTCCCTACAGATCTGTCCATGAGAGTCCGGGGGATGACACATGGTCTCTTGCATTGCCAGAGTAGGTGCACAGACCTCTGGAAGCACCCAGCACTGATGGAACAGTGACTCTCCCTACTCACCACTTCAGCAATGGGGGGCACAAGCAACTCCCACCCCTGTGGGTACTGCTTAGGGAAAACTTCCAGCACTGATGCATGTGGCGAGCGCACACACACACACACCCATCCATCTATGTAGGGTTGCCAGGTGTCCGGTATTGACCCTGACAGTCCTGTATTTTTGCCTCCTGTCCGGTAAAAAAAAAAAATTCAGAAAATACCGGACACCTGAAATGTCCAATATTTTCTGTTGGTTCCCCCCTGCCACTGCCCGGAGGTGAAAATACTGGACACTTGGCAACCCTACAACACAGTCGGCAACCGGGCCCATCCCCCAGTCTCACCCCCTGTGGCCTCGACACCCCCAGCCCTCTCCTTACCTGGTTTTACAGGGAAACTGCACTCTGGCTTGAGCAAGAAAACAAAATGGCCACCATCAAAAACCTAAAGACCAACTTTGTTTTTAATTGCTCAACAACTTTGGCTCTCCTCCCCCGCTTCCCCCCCCCCAACAGAATTTTTTCCCGGTGGGTTTTTTTGGGGGAGGGGGTCGGTATTTTTGGTTAAACCATCTGGCAACCCTACATCTATGCCAAATGGGCATGAGCAACACATCTCAAAGAATACCAGTTACAGAACCGTTAACTGTCTTTTTTGAGTCATGTCTCCTTTTAACAAAATTTCTTCACCCCTTTCCCTTTGGCTCGGGTGGGATTTTAGAAAGAACTGTTCCTCCCCTCCATGTGACCGCCTTTAGCTTAGCGGGTTTCACAAATGGCAATAGCTGTCTTTATTTTGTGAGAAGTCTGGGGCGGGGGAGGGTTTGGCTCTGACTTGCATGCAAATGCTGCACAGTCTGATTAGCCACTCTGAGCACAGAGCAAACTCTTATCTGCATTGCACTGCAAAGTGTGTTGCCTTTAGTTGCCTCTTTTCTGCCACAGGGTTATAGTAGCATTGCAAAGTATTTAGAAGACAGAGGGTTAGGACAGAGGAAAAAGTAAGGTAGGGAAGGAAATAGACACTGAAGTCTCATATCCCAGATTTAATCAGTCAGTGGAGATAATGGTGTCATCTGGGGCCTCCTTGGCTTAGTCTGGTCAGTGAATGTCTCTGGACCAGGGTTATGAATCTCCAGCAGTGTTCTTTATTCTGAAGTCCCAAGAGATGATGGGAGTGGCAGTTATGATAGTGAAACTTGCTCTTGCTGGCCCACCTATCTCCCAATCAATCAGCTAGTTCCCCAAAAATTCTCTTTTAGAGGATCCTACAAGAAAATGGATGATGGAATAGCTCATCCCTTCATTACCTTCTTTACCAGCTAAACTTAATTTCTCACACCGGCCATTGTAGTCCATTGACTTCCCATCCTACACTTCTCATTTTTACCAGGCATGATATTAATAGAGCCCTGGCATTAAACTAGGAGCCTTTCTGTTGGGATTAATTCAGTCTGCCTCTCTCCCATTAGGGAGGTTAGAATGAGGTTATTTTACTAATAAAACATTCTATTGATACTTATCGACCGGCTGATAGGGGAAGGTAGGTGACTCAGTCCTGGCTTGTGCTGGGATCAAACCCTGCTGCAGCTATGCAATTTAAAAGGCAATAGGAGCTGGACATCGCACACAAATACTCCCCTCCCCCAGTTCCTACTGCATTTTAAATTGTAGAGCAGCAGCAGGGTCTGGTCCTGAACCTGGCATGAGCTGGGACTGAGCCAGTCAACCCCTATCCATGGAGGGTCCCAACTCCATGGTGGGATGTCTGTGGACAGGAACTGCTGCTGGAGCAGCCTGTCCTGGCCCCCCATGCCGCTGTCTCTGATAGGGAGTGTGGCGGGAGTGGGGACAAACTGTACCACAGAGACAGTGCTGGAGGGAACCAGCTTTTAAGCTGGCTCCCGCTTCCCATCTCCCTTGTTGCCTCAGATACAGAAGCAGCAAGTGGGGGGAGGGGGGAAGTGAGTAGTTGATTCAACTCCCTGATTGGCCAAGGCTTATTGAGTGGTCGACTAATTATCTATTCTTTTATATCCCTATCTCTCACCCGAGTCTGCTCTAGGCACAATCAAACTCAACAAGTGCTTAGGGGACATTGATTTATGGAAATAACGGCATTAAAATTCTCATGGGTGGGCAAAGGCTACCCCACCCCACCCACCTACTATTCCTGCTTATGGCCCCCAATGGTAGTGAGCCCCAGCTGCCACCAGCTCTGGGAGTTATCACAGTGACTGCCAGACCTGCTCAGAGCCGGGGCAGACAAGGCTTGTGGGGAAATCCCTTCCCTGCTGGTGGATGCCAGGCAGCAGTGAGGCTTTTACCTTCTCCCCACTGTCCCGTGGTGCTGATACTGTCTCCCACTCACCCTCTGTTCCCAGAGCCAGCAACGATGACGGGGAAGGTTCCCACGTTCTCCCCTGGCTCTGCAGTGAGCTCTACACTGCCCGGCTACCTCGCACTCTGCCTGGCTCTGCAGGCTCCCAGGCTGGCCTCAGGTAGGTGCTCTGGCCTCCTTGCTGCATTTGCTGCTGTTGGTATTGCTAGTCATGCCCGGCCATCTCCCACCACTGCCTTGCCTTGTAAACCACCTCTGCTCAAACTGCTCGGTTTGCTCTTTACAGGAATGGCGATTGCACAGGGCACAGCTGAATCCCTAATGACCTTGCTTACTACCTCTACTCACTCTTTTCAGGCCTTGCTACTTGTCTATTCTACTGCACTGGATGGCTTCTGGCAGCTTCTAATACCACAGGTTGTACCTATCTAGTCCAGCAGCCTCGGGACCTGACCGATTCTGAACTAGAAAATTTTCCGGACCACAGGAGGTCAGTGTTGTCTAGCAGCATTACCAACATGTCTACTGCTGACTGGGTCTTAGAAGACATGTAGGGGTAAATTAGAGCTAAATAACAGCACAGAACCTTAAGAACCAAGTCTGGTGGCTGTAAACAAACTTACTGGGACCATAAGAACATCAGAACGGCCATACTGTGTCAGACCAATGGTCCGTCTAGCCCAGTGCCCTGTCTGCCGACAGTGGCCAATATCCAATGCCCTAGAGCAGTGCGTAACCCATGGGTTGTGACTCTCTTGGGGGTCACAGCTGTCTTCCGGGGGGGTCGCAACACTTCCTGGTATTTTCTTTTTCTGGCTCGGTGCCTGACATACACATGACGGGGGTGAGGGGAGTGGCAGGAGAGTAGACCGGGTTTAAATTAAAAGGGGCCACACAAAAAATGTTCCTGGCATTTTGGGGGATTTTTTGTTCAACAAAAATTTTCCTGGCTCCGGGGGTCATGAGTGAAAAAAGATTGAGCACCACTGCCATAGAGGGAGGGGGCACAACAGGGACTCAAATTTCATGTGATCCCTCCCCCGTCACCCACCTCCGGAGAAACAGAGGCTGGGGACATCATTCCTACTAGGGATGTAACACTGTAGTTGATTAACTGATTAGCAAAAGATTATTGGTTAATGCTATAGACTACACGCATTTCCCCTTCCCCCACGCTTGCCAATAAATTTTTTTAGTGGGCTGGCCAAAAGCCTTGTTCAATCCTAGTGCTGTGGCTCTGCATTTAAAGTGTATTAGGAGCCAGGTGGGCAAGCATCCTGGCTCAGTTCTGGCTCATGGCGGGGCCCCCCTCTCCA